TATATATATATATAATATATATATATATATATAAATGCTTGTGTATGTGCGAGTGTATGTACGTATACATGCTGGGGTTGAGAACACAAGTACAACAAACCCTAAACCCTAAACCCTCACGCCATGAAATGTTTAGGTGGTTTTTGCCCGTCGTTAGGCTGTGAGCATATATAAGGATTGAACAGTGTCCTGTAGCCAATTATTGAGGCAAGTGCTTGGAGGAGACAGGAGACAGTCTCTGCTTGTTGTTTAATTCCTCTTGCATATCTGTATACGTTGCGTGTATGTGCTGAAGAGTCAGATGAGACAGGTGTCTCCTGTGGGTATAAAAGTGTCTCCTTTTTACAATTTGGCCATTTTCGTCTTTAATAAGCTGCCGAGCCGCGAGGTGATTAGCTGCTGCAGCGGGCTGCATGCCATCTACGAATCCAGGGACAGTTGGAGACAGAGCTAGGGAGAGACAGAGACGACTGTCATTCATTTGGCCATCAAAATACAACAAAGATCCTTTTAAGCCCGCAGCAGGTAAGAGAGGAAAGGCGAAAGAAGATGTGCGCGCAGACAAATAAGAAGTAGGGGGGACCTCTGCGTATATACAAAAGAGACAGTTGCCCTTGCAACAACAGCAATGTGTAAGCAGAAAAGGAGACAAACAGACGGACACGGGAGACAGCAAAACAGGAAGAGCAAAGCAAGAAATAACAAGAAAGACAGAGACAGCGGGGGGCAGCAGAGAGAGAAAGAGACACGAAAGAAAACTTAGAAAAGGAGACACATGGAGACATAACTAGGAGACAAGCAGGTAGAGGAGGAGACCATCCTGTCTTCTAATGAGAGACATTAGAAGACAGGAAATAGAAAGAAGGAGACACTTTTATTGACATTAGGAGACAAGGAGACAGCCGAAAAAAAAAACAAAAAGAAAAAAAACATACCTGTCTGTCCGCAGCAGACGAGCTGTGCAAGGAGACCGTAGGCCTTAACACCAAACCAGCAGTAAGGAATCTTCCACAGGCTATAGAGGGGCATTAATATAGCAAGAGGTTGTGCTATGTGGGGTGCAGCACGCAGCAGATGCGCTCTCTCCTCAAGGGCCTCGCAGACAAGAGACAGTCTGCATAAGGAGACAGAAGAAAGGAGACAACAAAAAAGGAGACAGTAGATATACTGCATGTATCTTTAGGAGACAACACAAGGAGAGACAGTAGAAACAGAGACAGCGGCACAGAAAGATAGAAACATGAGGTGCTGCTGCAGCAGCAGCAGCAGCAGCATGACTTACTGTCCCCAATCAAAGTCTTCGAAGGCTTTTTGTAGGTAACGAATACCTCCATGAATAAGTTTAGTACTTTTGCTGGATGTACCAGCAGCAAAATCATTTGCCTCTATTAAACAACATTTTAGTCCTCTTGTGCTTGCATCAAATAATACACCAACTCCTGTATAGACACCCCACACCGAATACATACACCTAAATGCATGCGCACGCATGCATCCATGCATGCATGCAGACATGCATGCAGGCATCCGTGAGAGTGCTTGCATGCATACGTATGCATGTACATATAAACATATAAACTCGTTTTGTTTGTGCATTTATCTGGTATCCGTGCATGCATTGCAGTGTATGTTCTGCTCTGCCCCTCTGCATGCATTTTTATGCTAGTATTTACTCTTTTTTATTGGCTTGCACATCTTATATACATCTTTTTATGGATTTAATTGTGGCGAGCAACCAAATGCATGCAGCAGCAGCAGCAGCAGCAGCAGCAACAACAACAACAGCAACGCTAGCTGGAGCAGCAACTGGTCCAAAGAACACGCAAAGAATAACTGCGCAGAAGAAACAGCGCAAAAGAGCAACAGCAGCAGCACCAACAGCAGCAGCTAACCGGCAGAGCCTCCTCCAATGACGAGGACATCAAACTGTTCTTGCTTCATCTTTGTTATCATTTCTTCTCTTGATGGTGGTAAATAAGGGGGGCCCCTCTTATGTACACCTGGAGGGAGGCCCCCCCCGAATATGCCAGGGGCCCCTTCGAAGAAGGCCTTGGGGCCCCCTTTAAAGGCATTTGAGGGGGCTCCCTGGAAGAGGCCCTTCGGGGCCCAATCATGGCCCTCTGTAGACGACGGGGGCCCCTTTGCTGGGTCCCCTGCAGGAGGGGGCCCCTCTGGATGCTCATACGTTGTAAGGTAATACTTAGTATCCTGAGGTACCTTTGCTTTGCTGTGTCTGCGGCAGAGAAGAGCAGAAGTGGCTGCTGCGCTGCACACGACAGCAGCGGACAGGGTGGTGAGGCCTTTGGATACAAAAGGCATCTTGGAGAAAGAGGTGAGAAGGTGGGCTCCGCAGGGTTTAGGGTTTAGGGTTTAGGTTTTAGGGTTTAGGACCCTCGATCCGCTGGCCCCAGGGCCACTGAGACCCAGGCGGTCGCTTGTGCAGCAGCAACACAGGACAGAGGGTGAAGCAGCAGAAAGAAGATGTATTCACAAGAAGTGTCAATTCTCCGAAGAAGGGTATGGAGACAGAAGAAGAGGGTTTAGGGTTTAGGGTTTAGTGTTTAGTGCTTTCGGGCAACTCGACGGCCGCCGCGCGCCCAAAGAGAGAAAGCTGGTTAGAGCTGCTTCTCCTGCGACTTGTTTGTAAGAAATAAACAAACTAGGGACTCTTTTTAATTGTATTTAATGAGAGTTTATCCTTTTTATACGCTAAAGAAGAGGTAAAATCCCCAAGGAAGAAGCAACGCGATGTCGGCAGCAGTTCAGTGGGCAACTGTGACAACGGTGATCTGCGGTGTATGTACACACCACGCTGCTGCCGTCCCCCTCTAGCTAGACATCTAATTATGCGTAACTTTAATTAATGTTTATTAGTACTTTAAATAATACTAATCATAACACCGTGCGCATGCAGCTTTCAGCACGCTAAACTTGCACATACACCTGAAATTTCGGTCTCTGGTTTGCAGCAACGGAAACCAACTTGACGGCAGCAACAACAGCAGCAATCGAATTGCCTCCTGCTACTATTGTTGCTGCTCTTTGTAATAAATTTGCTGTTGCTGCTGCAAGCAGCTCCACCGAGGGTGCAGCAGACCTCCGTGCCCCCCTCAAGAGCCACTGTGGCTGTCTATACACTCCGGTGGTGTTTCAAGCATCTCGCGGTCTCCCCGCTGCTCCCCGCAAATAAAAAACTCCAGGTGTACAGGCAACATAACAAGGACATAAGGACAAACACCTCTGCTTCCCTTGATACCCCGCCCGTAGCGGTAATAGACACCTAGTTCTACTCCGTATAGGCTCCGTACAAACCAATACAGCTTGCTACAGCTAGCCAGGGCTTTGGCTAGCCATATATGGCTCCGGCTACCTGCAGCTCACTAGGGATAGCTAGGAGCAGCTCAATAGGCATAGGTAACTCCAGCTCACCGGGGAAAGCAGTAGAACACTACTACGGCTAGCTGCATATCCCTGTAGCTAGATATACAGCTAGTCACAGACAGGGAGACAGTCTACGGTGTACGTACAGCAGGAAGTCTCTAAACACGGAGGGTACATCGCGGACCGGCGGAATGGTGCCGGGGTCCAAAGCATGTAAACCCTAAACCCTAATTCCTGCTGCTGCTAGGTAGGGTTTAGGGTTTGCGCAGCGGAGCAGCTCGATAGGCTGCCTGCAGATTGAAGGGCAAAATATGCCACCCTTCCTATACACACCTAAAGGAGAGCAAACTGCTATCTGCTGCTGCTGTTCTTGCCGCTGCTGCTGCTGCTGTTGTTCTTGCCGCTGCTGCCTGTGTTGCTGCTTCTGCTGCTGCTGTTGTTAACAGTGTTGCTCCCGCTGCGCGCCGTAAAGCGGAGAAGGTAAAAACATCTGCAGCATCCCGAACCTGCTGCCGCTGCTGCAGCAGCTGCTGCAGCTACCGCTTCTGCGTGTGCTGCTGCTGCTGCTGCTGGAAAGCAGCGCCGATGTGCTGATGATAAACAGGGGCCCCAAAGTGTTGTTAGGGGACCCTCTTCTTGGCAACAAAAAATATAAAAAAAAAGCAGCCGTGCTCGTTCACCTGCTCGTGCTGCTGCTGCTGCTGCTGCTGCTGCAACAGCAGCAAGAGGATCATTCGGAGCTCGTTTATGTTGCTGCTGCTGCCTCTTCTGTTCCTGCTGCAGTAATATATCAATATATTGAATTAATCAGAATATTTATTAACAAAATAGAGGTAAAATTCCTTGAATTTATGGATCATTTCCTTCAATAAGGCCTCATCAGGAAGAATACATATACGTACATGCAGGGTACCCTTTCTTTGCTCAAATCCGCTCCCTGCTACCCCAACTATTCCTGTAGCTTTTAATAACTCCATACAAAAATATAAATCAGGAGCCATTCCTGCTGCTGCTGCTGCTGCATGCGCTCCTGTACATACACCATAACACGCATAGGACAAACAACTTATACGGGCGCATGCCAATGCACAAGCAAACCTACACAATATATTAATGATTAATGCAGAGAGAGAGAGAGAGAGAGACAGATGAAGAGAGAGATATATAAACAATGAACACCAAACCCTAAACCCTAAACCCTAAACCCTCGACATACTTTGTGGGAGTTCGATTCTTGGGAATCCGAATACACTGCCTTCGATTTTTTGGCATGAGATTCCTGGTACTGCATTGAGGTGTCTGTACACCTGATCAGCTTTCCTTCTTATACTACGATAAATAGCTTGTTTTTCTCTAATAAAAACAGGATAAGATGGATCTCCTTGTCTAGGAGGATTACATAAATTAGTTAACATTAATTGACCAAATAAATTTGAACAAAGAGACATAGAGGATAATTTATATAATTGTTGTTTTACTGCTTGCTCTACATTCTCTATTAATACACAACCACCACGAAAACCACACTCACCCACCAACCCTTTGCTGCTGCTGTGTAACGAGAATATAGGGACCTCTGCTTGCTGCTGCATTACTACCTGCATGCATGCATGCATGCATCCATGAATACACACATAACACACAATAACAACCGCAGAACCATCACTAATGTCAGCAGCAGTAGCAGCAATATGGCTAAAGGCAGCCGCAGCAGCAGTATGGTTACTTCTGCTGTTCCTACAGCAGCAGCAGCAGCAGCAGCAGCAGCAACAACAATACCTTCCTCGCCGAGACGAAAGGAGTGTCTCCGTAGACATTTTCTTGATAAACTTCATCTGCTAATAAGACGAGGCCTTCTCGTTGACACAGCATAACAACCTGTACATACACCCCAACTCCTAACACTACCACCGTCAATGCATGCAGGGTTTAGGGTTTAGGGTTTCGTCGCGGGGCGAAGTCCCCCGTAACTGCACTGGATGCTGTGGACTAACGGGTCTCCCGAACTTCCAGAACCTATCCCCTAGCTCCCAAACCCTAAACCCTAAACCCTAAACCCTAATTGCTAGTTAGTGTTTGTATTGGGGTATATTCGGGTGTATAGGCACCTCTCTTATCTGGTCTTCCTTAATAAGTTGTCCTGTAGGGTTACCAGGGTTAATAACAACAATACCCCTAACATTTGTCCCCTCTGCTCTTGCCTCATTGAGTGCTCTCTCTACCTCTGCTGCCTCAAGAGACCACCCCTTGTCTTCCTAGCAGCAAACAATTAAACAAAAAAAAAAGGAATCAATATGTACACATGCATGCAGGGAAAAGGAGACAAAAGGAGACACCCCAATGAGAAAAAAACAGCAATAAAGGAGACAATAGAGGACTGACTGCGAGGCCCATTACACAGTTCCCCTGAAAAGAAGCTGCAGCAGCCAACAGCAGCAGCCAACAGCAGCAGCAGCAACAGCAGCAAGAGTTGGCTGAGCTAACATTAAGAAAATATCCAACACTTCTTGCTCCTATTCTTGTGAGTAGACCAGCATAGAGGGGATATTGAGGGATAGGGATGAGTAAGCCATCCTCAGGTCCCCTATATAATACCTCTATTATCCGAGCTACTGCAGCAGATGCACCTGCAGCAACAGCAGCAACAGCAGCAACAGCAGCAGGAGAGGAAGGAGGAGGATGCAAGAGAGCCGTAGGAGATATATATAAAATAAATAAAAAAGGTACCGTCAGTAAGAAAGAGGTCATCAGGGTCTGCTTGGTATCCATCCCTTATAAATAAACAAATAAGCAACTAAATAAATAAATAAATAAGTAAGTAAGTAAATAAATAAATAAATAAATAAATAAATAAAAAGTACCATCAGTAAGAAAGAGGTCATCAGGGTCTGCAGGGTATCCATCTCTTATAAATACATAAATAAACAACTAAATAAATAAATAAATAAATAAATAAATAAATAAATAAGTAAATAAATAAATAAATAAAAAGTACCATCAGTAAGAAAGAGGTCATCAGGGTCTGCAGGGTATCCATCTCTTTCTTGGAACCAAATGGCGATTTTTTGTCGGAAATGTTTGACGCCTTGGGAGTGTGAATAAGCACCAACAGATCCAACAGCAGCTAGATACTCTTTTGCCTTAGATGTTACATCATCAGGGAAGGGGACAGAGAAGGCAGCAGGACAAAAATCTAATGGAGGGAGAGCACCAGGAGCTCCTCCTCCTGCTCCTCCTGCTCCTCCTGATGCTCCTGATGCTCCTGATGCTCCTGATGCAGCAGGAGGAGCAGAAAGAATAACTGATGATATACCAGGCATACAATTTGCTGCTATACTACCAGGGGGGCCCCCAGGTAATGGGGAACCTATTAATCCAGAGGGGGGCCCCTCTTCTGCTGCTGCTGTCTCCTCCATTGATGGGGTACGGCAAAAGGCATTAGAATGTAAAGATAAACCCATTAAGGGAGGATACATTAAACACGCCAACACCTAATACATATTTACACACCAAACCCTAAACCCTAAACCCTAAACCCTAAATTGTATTAAGGGGATATAGGCAGCCAAGCTGTGTTAGTTCATTGTCTGTCTGACACTCCAAACCCTAGACACAAAGGTCCTATATAAACCCTAGTAGTAAACCCTAATATATATATACCCTAATAAGCAAGAGTACACCTTAATACAAAACCCTGACACTAAACCCTAAACCCTACCATAGAGGACTGGTGAGTTAGGTATAGCATAATGTCTGCGAGCTAAGAAGGGTTTAGGGTTTAGGGTTTAGGGTTTAGGGTTACCTGTCGGAAGAAGGAGATAGGGGGCTGTCCTAAGGCCTGAGGGTCTCCTATATTAACATAAATAAGACGCTTAAAGGGTAAATCGTGGTGGCCTTCTGCTAGCTTGAGGGACAATTCCTGTGCTAAGGAGACAGTTGGGCCCCTTACTGCATACTGATGTAGTAAGAAAAGGAGACAATAAGCAACAAACAAATAAATAACTATTAAATTATAAGACAAACAATTGCATGCATTTGCATATAAACAAAAGACGTACACTGCAAAAAGAGCGGAGGCTCGGGGGGAAAACCCGCGTCAGGGGATTAAAATAAGGGTTTAGGGTTTAGGGTTTAGGGTTTGGAGGAGCACCTGGCAATCCAGCACACGTTTAGGGAGTTCCGCTAGGGTTAGGGTTGGGCGTCTCCTGCTGCTGCGCATCTCTTCCTCGTGTCCATATTCTGCTGCTGCATCTGCTGCTGTTGTTGCTGCCATTGCTGCACCTGCTGCTGCACCTGCTGCTGTTGCTGCACCAGGAATTCCTGGGAAAGGACTCGTTATAGGAACGGCAGCAGCTGTGTCTTGCGGAGCTCCTGGCTTCAAGGGAGCTGCTGCTGCTGCTGCTGCTGCAGCAGCAGCAGCAATTGCTGCTGCTGATTGCTGCTGCTCTGCTGTCTTTGGGTACTCATCCATCTCGTGAGGCCGTTTGCCCCTGTGGTTTCCAGGGGGGCCCCGGGGGGCCCCCGAAGGACTGTTGTGAACACCAGGACTACTATGGTCTTCCATTGTCCTGCTGCTGAACCCGCTAAACCCTAAACGCTAAACCCTAAACCCTAAACCCTATACCATACACCCTAAACCCTAGACCCCAAACCACCCGGATTAATTGGACTACGGGTCGTCGCGCAGGGGGTCCGGACCGGTGACCTGTGCAAACCCTAATCCCTACACACCAAACCCTAAACCCTAGACCCTAAACCCTAAACCCTAAACCCGAAACTCTAAACTCTAAAGTATCAAGACAAGCATCTATCTTTCTTGCCAGCTTACGAGCCAGCAGTTTGTATGGAGAGAGGAGCAACACAGTTCGCTTGGAGCGCAGTTGCTGCTGCTGCTGCTGTTGTTGATGCTGTTGTTGATGCAGCCGCCGCCGCAGCAGCTGCTGCTGCGTGCTGCTGCAGTGTTGTGTCTTCCTGCTCTAGAGGAGTTATCTGCCCTTTTTTTTATTACCATTTACTATTTTTATAATTTAAACAAAGTTGCATTTACTTTCTTCCCCTTTCTTGCTGTTTATTGTTTGCTGCCACCTGCACAGCCATGCGCAAACCCTAAACCCTAAACCCCCGACCCCCCATCCTATGACATAAACCGCATACACAATGTCCCAAACCCTTAATACTAAACCCTAAACCCTAAATTTACTTTTTATGAACCCTCATGGCCAATCCATCAACCCCACCGTATAAATACAACCCCCCCACAATAACCACCCGTGTCTGACTGTCGGCAACGCAAACCCTAAACCCTAAACCCTAAGGCGGAACCCATCCCCCCCTCAACACGAAGCCGCTTTTATCTGTTCCCTTTGGGCTAAGGTTTTGAAGGTGTTGTGGGTCCCTATTCTCTAGGGTTTAGTGTTTAGTGTTCGAGTTGTGTCCATGGCCTAGGGTTTAGTGTTTATATTTTTGGGTTTAGGGTTTAGGGTTTGAGTTTTTTTCAGGGTTTAGGGTTTTCTTTTGGAGCTCTCCATAGCTCAGTTGGTAATCATGTACACAATCTATTAATAATATAATTAAGTAAGGAGCCAATTAGCTGCAAAACCCTAACACGTTACCTGGGTCTCCTGTCTCCTGCCTCCTCTCTGCTCTCTCGTGTCTTCTTAATGCTAGCCGAGAAGAAACAGAGAGAGAGACAGATGCAACAGAGACACAGGAGACAGAGAGGTGAACAGAAGGAACAGAGAGAGGGGAACAGTAGGGGCAGGGATAGAGGCAGAGGAGGCAGTAATAGGGAGACAGGGTATACATACTGGGAGAGACAGTATGCAATAAGGAGACAGTATAGAGGGAGACACTTTGTGTATCTCCGCATGCAACGACAAAACATAGAAAGCCCCAATTGTTGCATGCAGCAACACTCTATACATTTAAGGGACTCTTGTGTATTAAAGGAATAAATAAAATAATATATTAATGTTGTTGCTCTCTTTGTTTATTTTTCTTGTTTATTTATTCTCTCTTATTTGTCCCTTCTCTCTTTTTCTCCTCTTTTAATTCCTTAAACCCTTGCATGCATTTTGGGGTTTTCTCCTCTTTTCTCCAATAGCAAACCCCAACATTCTTGCAAAACCCTAAACCCTAAACCCTAATCCTCTTACCTGCAGGTGACATCGGGGAGCCCCAAGACCAACGAAGTGGCTGTGGCTGTTTGCAACCATAAACCCTAAAACCCTAAACACTAAACACTAAACCATATGAACCTAAGTCGTGAAGGGCAAAACCCTCAAACCCTAAACCCTAGAACCATAAACCCTAAAGAATAAATACAAGACAAACTCTATAGGGCTCGCAGACAGAGGCCAAGCAAAGACCCCAAAGGGTCCAGGGGGGGGCCACATTGTCTATAAGCCAATACCTATTATGCTGCATGCGTTGGACTGTATAAGTAGCTGTTAATAATAATAATATTATACAGAGGAGACCTACATAGATTGGGTAGCATATGCCGCAGGGGCCCCAGGGGACCCCATGTTTAGGGCCCCAAGAGGTATGGGGTCTAACAGCCTGTGAACAACAATAATATTGAATGTTTAGGGTTTAGGGTTTAGGGTTTGACGGGCTTGGCGGTACTGAGACATAAAGGATCTTCTTGTAACCTTATTTAGCTGTACGTACACCTCGGCATGCAGCAGACCCTAAAGGGTCCCTAACAGCCTAGAAAAGAATGGACGCAACGGCTAGGGGCCCCCAGGGGCCCCAGGGACCCTCAAGGCAACTTTAGATCAGGGGGGCCCCTTATAGGGGCCCCCATCCAACCCCCGTGCAACAGGCAGCGGTAGTGGGCCCATGGGGGCCCCTGATTATTAGTGTAGGAGGGGCCCCCGAATTGAAAACCCTTTTAAAATGTATATTTATAATTAATATAAAAAAGCAGAAATGCAGACAATATTGAGTATGGGCCCCTCGTAGTAGGCAGCAGCGACCGGTGTATGGGTACGGGGGCCCCCCGACAGGAACATTGGCGACCTTGGGGGCCCCCCTGGGACCTCGTTGGTTTTTTCTTCTTCTATGGATACGAATAATGAATTAAAACATTTAAAAAGGTAATTTAAACAACAAAGAATATGTGTTTTATATAGGGGGGCCCCCCATACACCCGAAGTTCTTCATCCTCATACAGGGGTTTCCTAGTAGACTGCGCCCTCGCACTCTCTCCTCGCTCTTTTACCAAGTACCCAGCTAGCTAGCTAGCTAGCTAGCTAGGCAGCTGGCTATCTAGCTAGAAAGCAAGCAAGCAAGGCTCCAGCTTCCGTGTCTGGGGGCAACGAGGCCTCCCGTGTGCTGCTGCCGTGCACCAACACAGCAGTAGCAACTCGGGTGTACAGACACCTCAGATTTGCTGCAGTGGCTTCCTCGCCTCCTAGCGTTCGTCATAGTCGACTGGAGGGCCCCCTTGTTAGACGTGTGGGGGCCCCTACGCGGGCTGCAGGGGCCCCTGCTGCTGCTCTTTGCTGCTTCTGCTGCTGCAGCAGCAAGATGAAAGTCGTAGAGTTTCGTCTTATTTTGCCCCTCACCCCTGAGGTAATTCCTCTTCTTTGTTTACCATGTCAATAGATACACTGCTGCTGCTGCTGCTGCTGCACCTGCTGCTGCTGCTGCTGCAGCTTCTGTACGTCTTGCTGCCTCTGGTGGTCTTGTTGTTTTTGTACCTGCTGTGGCTGTTTCTGCTGCTCTAATTCCTTCTATTGTACCTGATGTTGCTGTTATTGTTGTTGTTGCTGCTGCTGCTGCCGTTCTTGCACTTGCTGTTCCTGCTGCTGCTGCTGTTTCTGCTGATGCTGCTGCTGCAGGAGTACCGGCGCTGTCAGATATTTCTAATTGCTTTAGCTGCTCTAGAGACAGCAGAGGCGCAAAAGGAGACAGGGGGGGCCCCAAGGGGCCCCCTAATTCAGATATTGGCATCAGAGGATTATTGTAAAGATGGGGAGAAGGGACAATATACCCATAAAAGAATAGATATAGCGGAGTCAGCTAAACCCTAAACCCTAAACCCTAAACCCTCGCGAGGGACCCAAAATGGGGCAAGAACTTTTAGGGGGTTGAGGGCTGCCTTTTGTACTATGCAGCATGGGTAGACGCACTGCGCAAGGGTTTAGGGTTTAGGGTTTAGGGTTTGTGTGCAGCAAGCTGCCTGGGTGGCTCTTAAAGTTCGTAGATCGCGGGAGTTGCGCCTTTGAAGAAAAGTCGTAAGAAGAAGTGTTTAGGGTTTAGACACATTTATGCTAGGGTTTACGGTCGAGGGTTTGCGTTTTATAGTTTAAAATTGGGGTTTAGGGTTTAGGATTAGGGTTTAGGGTTTAGGGTTTATGATGTGTTCTCAGATGGAATGCTTACCCGCGCCTGCGCACGGAGTACGAGGTAAGGAAACCTTTTGATCCTTCATCTGCATCCTTGCTAGGATTTAGGGTTTAGGATTTACTGTGTAGTGTCTAGGGTTTAGGGTTTAGTGCTTAGGGTTTAGGGTTTAGGGTTTAGGGTTTTATGCTCAGTCGGAGAAGTTCTCAAAGGCGAAGATATCCATCACCAGCAATCATCTCTCGGGTGTCTGCACAGACGACAATGTATGCCATTTTGCTGCTGCTGCTGCTGCTGCTGTTGCTGCTGCTGCTGCTGGTGCTGCTGCGTGTACGTGGACATTAAGGGGGGGCCCCTATGTATTTTTTTTCTTTAGGCAATAAATTTGTCTCCTGAGGCCCTTCGCCGTAGGAAGATTGACGTTATTGATATTGTTAATGATGCAGGGGTAAGTTTATTATCTGTCTCCTTTTATCTGTCTCTTTTTCTTTGTCTCCTTTTATCTGTCTCTTTTTCTTTGTCTCCTTTTGTCTGTCTCCTTTTATCTGTCTCCTTTTAACTGTCTCCTTTTATCTGTCTCCTTTTGTTTGCCTCCTTTTGTTTGTCTCCTTTTATCTGTCTCCTTTTCCCTGTCTGCTTATCTTACCTGTCTTTATACATTAGGGTGTATATCTATTTTATATAATAAATAAATAAATATTATTGTTCCTGTATGTCTCCTTATATATAAGTGTCTCCTTTTATGTGTCTCCTTGTCTCCTTTTTTCTTAAGGGGTCTGCTGCAGAGGATCTCCGCTCGTGGAAGTCAGAGAAGGCCCAATTTGGTCCCCTTGCTCCTGATTGGTTTACCAATGTACCATTAGTACCCCCAAGGGCCCCCAGGGCCCCCCGTAAACCTAGGGCCCCCATACATAGGGGAGGGGGAGGCCCAAGAGGGGCCCCTATGGGGGCCCAAACGGGAGGCACCCAGGATGCTAACACCGGAGGTGCTGCTGACGGATCAGCAGGAAATCCAGGGGGGGGGCCAATAAGTACCCAAGGAGGCCCCCCCAACAATACAGGAGAAAACAGTGTTGGGGGCCCCTCAGGGTCTGGTCTTCCTTACGCTCGTCAGGGGAGTCCTTCGAATACCGCAGGGGTTGACGTGGGCCCCCCATTGGGGGCCCCCACCACAGGGTCCCTTGATTCAGGGGTTCGCACCACAGGACCCGCCCCTGAATCAGGGGCCTCCTTGGGGGCCCCCATGGGGGCCCCCCAGTTAGTACCCGCGTACCCTCTAATGACGTGCTACAAATGCTTTGAAGTAGACTTCCCCTACTTTGGCATTGTATCAGGAAGAATAGAGGGTTGGGTTGTTGCTGCTATGAGGCAGCAGCTGCTGCACTACCATAGGAAAGCCGTCAGCTGTATGGACAGGTGGTAAGACAGCAGCAAGTGCAGCAGTTCTACAGCAGCTGCAGCGGCAGCAGCAGCAACAGCATGTAGTGTTGCAGCAGCAAACTGTTCACACATATACTCTGGTTTGGGGGCCTGTGGGTCCCGCAACCTCTTCCAAGGCGCAAAGGTTAGGGTTTAGGGTTTAGGGTTTAGGGTTTGTGTTCAGGTACGACCTGTCTCTAGAAGAAGTTCGTGCCTTTGAAGAAGACGTGAGGGAGCAGTTGGCTGTTTTGTCTTCTCTTTCTCGCAATGCCTCGGGGGCCCCTCAGCAGCAGAGGGGGCCCCCGGAGGCCCCAGAAGGGGTCCCCTCCACTGAGGCCCCCCCTGCAGCAACTTCTGAGGACCAAAGGGAGACTGCCTCCTCTTCGGACTCTGAAGACGGAGGAGAGGGGGGCCCCTCAGCAGACAAGAAGGGGGGCCCCCAGGGGCCCCTGCAAGACATAGAAGAGACTTTAAATGACCCTGATGTCTATACAGGACGCAAGCTGCTGCCGCTGCATCTGTCCCCTCGCAGCATTGCGCTGCTGCAGCGGCTGCAGCAGGGTCTACTCAATAAATTCCCGACCTACTCCCAGCAGCAGCAGCAGCAGCAGCAGCAGCAGCAGCAGGGGAGGAACCGGAGCTTCTCTGGGAGCAACCGCGATAGCCCGGGCCCCCCCACACCAACTCCTAGGCGCGAGGGCCCCGTAAAGAATGGATACATACATAAATTAGGTACAGAGACGGGGCCCTGTCTCCTTTACTAGCTGCAGCAGCATTGTGCTGCTGCTTCAGGGGAACGCAACGTGTTGCTGCTTCTGCTTCTGCTGCTGCTGCTGCTGCTGCAGGGGATGGTCTATGGAGCAGCCGGTGGCACTTACGTTACTTTTTGCTGCGAGGGGGGAGACTGCAATACTTTGATGACCCAAGGGACCAAAAGGCTAAACAAGTCTTCTCTCTTGCAGGCGCCAAGGTAACCTGCTGCTGCTGCTGCTGCTGCTGTTGCTGGTGGTGGTGGTGGTGGTAGTGATGAAGGTGATGCCAATTGTGATGTTGTTGCTGCTGGTGATGATATGATGCACCCTTTAGGGTCTAGGGTTTAGGGTTTAGGGTTTGCATTCAGGTGGGCTGGGCCCCAGAAATGACCGAGAAACCCTTTTCCTTTTATGTAGAGACTGCAGCTAAGAGGCGCATTTACCTCAGGTGAGGGAGTTTAGGGTTTAGGGTTTAGGGTTTAGGGTATAGGGTTTAGGGTTTGGGGTTTAGGGTTTGCGGACACTGTTTCTGTTATTAGGGTTTACGGTTTAGGGTTTAGTAATGAGTATTCTTGCAGCGGAAGTAACGAGGAAGAGTCTCGGGCATGGCTATCGGCAATACGTGATTCAGCAGCGGCAATGGACAGCAGCAGCAGCAGCAGCAGCAGCAGCAGCAGCACAGGTTTAGCGGACAGCGCATATATGGACCTTCAAGAGTTTGCAGTTACGTCCTCTCAGGCCTCTGGGGGGCCCCATGGGGGCCACTCGGAAGCACCTGGGGCCCCGTACCTCTCCTCTTTGGGAGGAAGCCCTCCAACAACACAAGTTGACGGCAGTACCCTAATGACATCAGGGGCCCCCCCTCTTGGTCAGCCTGTCAAGGTAGCGGCAGTCTTTGCTTCGCATGCAGAGCCACCAGCGCCGCATGCTGTTGCTGCTGCTGCGTCTTCTGGGAGTCCAGCAGCAGCAGCAGCAGCAACGGATGTGAAGGACCCAGGAAGCAGCAGCAGCTGTCCACCGTCTGCTGCTAGCGACAATGGCAACGGGGTAAGAAGGATAAAGAATCTCCTCTCCTCAACTGTCTCTGTCTCATTTTTTGTCTCCTTTTCTGTCTCCTTCTGTTCTCCTTTTCTGTCTCCTTCTCTATCTCCTAGAACTTGTGCTCTCCTTCAACATTACCACCAGCATAGTCCCCTCCCCCTCTCCTCTCCTTCTGCCTTGGGGGCCCCTTGGGGGCCCCTTTCGGTGACCCCTTGTTGTTGTGTATAAGATGCGGAGGCGCAATTGTGTCTCTTTTGCTGCTGCAGGAGGAAGAAGACCCGCTGCAGCAGCAGATCTCTCAGCTGAAGGTGAGGCACCCCTTGCTGCACCTGCTGCTACTGCTGCTGCTGCTACGGCTGCTGCTGCTGCTGCTGCTACTGTTGATGCCACTTCTGCCGCTACTATCACTTCCACGGTTACTGCTATTGCTGCTGCTGCTGCTGCTGCAGGGGCCTTTAAAGGAGGCAATTAGAGGATTAACAGGGCGGTGGAGGAACAGTTGTTGTTTTGTGGGCGAAGAGGTGGGGGGCCCCCACATGGCCTACATGGCGCAGACCCAAGAGAAGGGGCCCCCAAGACAGGGGTCACCCCAAAAGAGAGGGGCCCTCAAGGGGCCCCCCAAACGAACCCTATATGAAGTTCTTGAGGAAGAAGAAGGAGGAGAATGCAAGCAGTCTCTTGCAGCAGAAGGTGCGTCCTTATTACTTGAATATACACGTCTACGTTTAGGGTTTAGGTCTAGGGTTTAGGGTTTAGGGTTTGCTGCTGTGTTTGTGTGGTTGCAGTCGCTGCAGTGGGGGCGCTTGCTCTGTCGCTGCTGCTGCTGCTGCTGTCTGCTGCATGCGTGGCTAGCTGCTGCAGCAACATCTTGTCTTTCTCCTTTCTGTTCTTAAATATGCTGTTGGGTCCCCTGAGGATCCTGATATTTGGTATATCGGAGTTTGGGGGCCCCTGGGGGCCCCTTAGTTTCCTGGGGGCCCCTCTGGCGTTGCTGGGAACTGCTGTCAGGGCAGCAGCAGCAGCTGCTGCTTCTGTTTTGCTGCTGTGGGTGGCCCTTCGGTGCTTCCTGCTGCTTCCGCGCTTGTGGGGCCCTGACGGGCAAGGGGGCCCCCAGAGGGCCCCCGTGCAGCTGAAGGCTGCATGCATTGCAGAGGGGCCCCCAGCGTCTGTGCTGCTCTCAGGGTTGCCTCCCGATGCAAACTGTAAGTTGCATTACAGCTCTAAGAGTCTGGGGGGCCCCCTATATTATATTATATATATACAATATATATAATATAATATATAATATATGTACCTAAACTGCATACATATAAGATTATATATAATGTATGTGTATCGCCTGTGTGTGTGTGTGCTGCAGCCTTAGTAGCAGGGGGGCCCCCTGACCCCTCCATTTTGGCTGTGGGTGGCCCCTTCTTAATGTCGAGTACGGAGACCCTCAGGCCTCTGGAGCTGCTGCTGAGGGGGCCCTCAACTGTACCCTCTCTTTGCTCCTGGGCGCTCCAAAGGGGGGCCCCCAGACTATCTGCTGCTGCTGGACGGCTTTTAGAGAGCATTATGCAGCAGTGGCAGCAGCACGAGCAGCAGCAGCAGCAGCAGCAGCAACGGAAAGTGCAGGCAGCCAGAAACCCTAGCAAGTCTGATGCAGCAAAGCATTTCCTGCTGCAGCTGCTGCAGGTGCTGCAGCAGCAGTCGCTTCTTATTTGCTGCTGGGGAGGTTTTGCCTTTAGAGGATTTTTAGGAGCCCTTATAGTGGCATTGGGGGGGCCCAACTGGGGGCCCCTGCGCATGCAGCGTGTCTCCTTTGTTGCCTCCGTAGAAGGCAATGGCTATCTCATCTTTTCTCAGCTGTCTCCTGCACCTCTTGAGGAATCGTTGGAGGCCCCCAAAGCGGACCCCAAAGCGGCCCTGCAAGGGGTCCCCCAAGAGGCCCCCCAAGGGCCTCCAGCAGCAGGGCCCCAGTGGGAGCTGCTCAAAGAATGGGTTTGTTGGCTCTTCGGAGAAGGGGCCCCCGGGTACTGGGTAGAGGTGCTGACAGGAGGGGCCCCCCAGAGGCGGGCCCCTCTTGATGGTGTAGGGGGCTTCGAGGCCCTATTAATAACCCCCTTACCCTATGCCCCAACTGGACCCCTTGTTAGGGGACAGGAGGAGGTACAGTTGCTGCAGCATCTGCTGCAGCAGCAACTGCTGCAGCAGCAGCAGCAGAGGGCGGAGAAGAAGAAGCAGAAGGGACACTGGTGTTTGGCGTCTCTTCGGTATCAGATATCCCCCCAGCATGAGGGACAGACGCCCCCCTCCTCTCCTGCTGCTGCTGCTGCTCCTGCTGTTGGAGGCCCTCCTTGTAGCAGCAGCAGCGAGACGTTGGCCTTCCATCTGCAGCATAGCGGGCTGTCTTCTACCTCAGCTTCTGGGGCCCCCTCTGCATGCATCGAGTGGAAAGAGGGGGGCCCCTGTCTAGTAACATGGGTAGGGGCTCTACGCTGGGGGCCCCCAGGTACGGTACCCTCTTGGATGGAGGCACTGCTAACGCAGCAAAAGGCAGCGGAGACAATGCAGTGTCTCGTTATGCAGCTGAGGGCCCGCAGGGGCCTCTCTTCTGGCAGCAGTACCCAGTGCAATGACCCCTTGGGGGCCCCCTCCAAGGGGATCCCCTCCCCTCTGCATGTAAGCTCGGCCCTCTCCTCTTTTTTATGCGACAGTACACCTCTACCTCTAAGAAAGAGGGGGCCCTCAGGACACCTGAGGGGGCTATGGGCTTAAGTACACGTTGGAGGGGGCCCTAGAGGGCCCCCTCTAGGGGGTCCTGGACAATAACGAATTAGCAAGACCTTTTGGGGGGGCCCTGCAGAGTGTATTGACGTTGTCTGAGAGTGTGCAGGTTAACTCAAAGGAAAGAATGCTTGGGGCCCCTCTTGATGGCCTAGGTATACAACGGGGGGCCCCCATGGATATTGCTGAGGGGCCCCTGTCGGAGTTTTATAGGACTCAGGGAGCCCTCGAGGCCCCCATGGCAAAGGCCTTGGCGAAGCAACGCTGCAGAGATACAATGATCAGGTAGGAACAGCAGCAGCAACAACAACAGCAGCAGCAGCAGCAACAGCAACAGCAACAGCAACAACAGCAGCAGCAGCGTTGAATTGGTTTGTGTTGAGTGCTGATGCTGTTCCTCTCAGGCCTTATCCTCTAGCAGGTTGGAGGAGGGGCCCCCATGGTACCCTAAGGCAAGAAGAGTCCCTGTTATTAGACAAGCAAAGGGGCCTCCTGCTGCAGCTGCTGCAGCGGCAGCAAGCAGATATCCCCAGAGGTAGCCATAAACCCTAAACCCTAGATTCACACATAAACACGAAACCCTAGACCTCCTGCTGAACTTAAGGTTTAGGGTTTAGGGTCTAGGGTTTGGGCGAGAGGGGCCTACTGTAGGCCTTAGTAGGTTCAAGGCTTTAGGGTTTAGGGTTTAGGGTTTATGGTATATCTCAGGCCATCGTCTCCCCTCTAACCACCTCCTGCCCATAGGGTTGCTGAGGCCCTCTTCGCTGCTGCTGCTGCTGCCAGACTGCATGGCACAGGGGCCCCCCATCCTTAAAAGAGCAGCGGCAGGGGGCCCCCTTGAGCGGTTTAAGGCCGCTCTAGCCTTTGCTGTCTCCATTCTGCACAGAGGTATGCTGTTGCTGCTGCTGCTGCTTGTGCTGCTGCTGCTGCGTTTGCGTATCCTAGCTTTGGTGCACCTGCTGCGGCTTTGCTGCTCCGCATTGGCTTAGTGCATTCTTCAAGGGGTTGGCGATTAGGGTTTAGGGTTTAGGGTTTAGGGTTTAAGGTGGTGTGAGCAGGTTGTTGGCAAGCTCCTCCGCTGGCTGCACTCTTAGGAGAGACATTTCAGGGTCATTTAGAGGAGCCTGCGGGGGCCCCCACGGCACCTTTGGGGGCCCCCCTGGGGGTCCCCCAAGGGGGTTGGCTGGTGTACGTGGAGCAGACAGGTGTGGGGCCCCCAAGTACCCTATTTTGTCTCTCGAGCCCGGGGGCCCTTGAGCAAGTATGGGGACATTTAACATTTACTGTGGAGTACCAGGTACGAAGGGGCCCCCCCCGCTTGCTTCCTTGCTTGCTGCTGCTGCTGCCTTCTGCCGGCAAGAAGCCCGTTACCTGTGGGGTCCCCTAAGTGTTGTGTATAGGGGCCCCTCTCGCTGTTGTGTAAATGGTTCTCCCTAGGAGTAAATCCTTAGCTGCGGGGCCCCCTAACGAGACCCCCTGGTAACTATGTTGAGGGGGCCCCTAAGGAGGGCCCCCTTGTTGCTCTGTGAAGGCCCCCCCCCCCTTTATATTATTTGTATATTTATATTTGTGTTATTATTTGCAGAGAAATGGTTGTATTATATCTATAGAGGGGACAGTTAAGGTCTCTTTCTTAAGAGAGGAGACTGTCTCCTTTTCTTTGCCTAGCTTATATATAAAGGGCCTCGTGTGGGGCCCCCGTCTCTTCTATTGGCAGGGGCCCCTTAAGGTTCAGGGTCAGCATATGCGCTGTACCCTCATGGTTGCTGGATACACCTCTAAGAGGGCCCCTCATGGGGGGCCCCCGTGTGATGAAGTCATTGGTGTCGTGTTGCCTGGGGGGCCCCACCAGGCAACAGATAATAATAGCCAAGGGGGGGCCCCAGGGGCCCCCAAGCCATTGGGTATTATTACGGGCTCCTACACGGACAGGATCTTCTGGGACAATGAAGAGTAAGCTTGCTGCTGCTGTTGCTGCTGCTGCTACAGTTGTTGCTGCTGCTACAGTTGTTGCTGCTGTCGTCTGTGTTTGCTGTTGCTACTGCTGCTGCTGCTGCAGTGTCTTTACGTTTGCTGCAGGATATGGAGTGTATATACACCGCAAGCTTTGTCTCTCTATCATGTCCCTGAGGAGGAGGCCCTACCAATAGACAGCAGGTATGCCGTCTCCTTTGTCCCCTCTGTCTCCTTTGTCTCCTTTGTCCCCTTTGTCTCCTTTGTCCCCTTTGTCTCCTCCTTTTTACTTTAGAAGGGGGACAGACAGGCATTAGGGCCCCCAAGACCACTTGGGGGCCCCACAGAGGCCTCTGTCTCCAGTACTATCTCTTTTATGTCCTGCTGCTGCTGTTGCTGTTGCTGCTGCTGCTGTTGCTGCTGCTGCTGCAGGTTTAGGGTGGATAGCATGCTGCTGCTGCAGGGGGAAGAAGAAAAAGCTGCTGCTGTTAGGAGGAGACAGCTGGAGCTCGAGGCAGCAGACATGTAAGCGGCTATATATGCAGCAGGGGCTCGTTGCTGCTGCTGCTGCTGCTGGTGCTGGTGCTGTCTTCAGTTGCTGCTTCTGTCCCTTTTCCTACTCTTTGTGTCTCCTGTGTGTCTCTTGTCCTTAGTGTCTCCTTTGTCTCCTGCACTTTTTTGTCTCCTTTTGTTTATCTCCTTTTTTTGCTGCTACCTGCTGCAGTGCCAGCCAACAAAAGGCCATCGGCCGTCACTCGGAGGGGCCCCAAGAACTTATGGGGGGACCCTCTGGACCCAGCGGCCCCATTTGAGGTCTGGGGGCCCCCGAGGCACCCACAATATTTCAAGGCCCCTTTGCAGGGGCCCCCTTGTTTTTTTACCTTCAACTCCTGCCCCAAGGGGGCCTCTAAGTCTTTTACTCCTCCAGTCTTAGTTCTAGTAGAGGCTGGGGGGCCCCCTGGGGGCCCCTACGCCTGTCGTCTTAGGTTTAGTTCCAATAGAGTCTGAGGGGCCCCGAAGGCCCCCCCCAGGGGCCCCCTCAGGGGCCCCTATGCTGTAAAGAATCCGCCAAATATATTTCTACCGAACCCTGGGTTGTAATGCTGCCCTGTAGGGTGTACGTACACCGCAATGCAATACACATACGAGACACGCCAAATCAACAGAGCAACAGCAGCAACAGCAGCAACAGCAGCAACAGCAACAGCAGCAACAGCAACAGCAGCAACAACAGCAACAGCAGTGTTGCTGACTTGGGGTAGAGAGATCAGGCTTGACGCGGTAGGCAACAATGCGGGGGGCCCCCACAGCATCTTCAGGGGGGGCCCCCTTGACGTCTTCTTTATATATTCTCCTGGTACCTCTTATGCGGTTAAAGGGGCCCTTATCTAGCGGAAAAGGGGACAGCAAAGAGAAAGGAGACAGAGGAGACAGGAGAGACAGACGGGCCAGAGAAGACAGACGACACATTTTAGGGTTTAGGGTTTAGGGTTTACGATCTAGGGTTTAGGGTTTAGGGTTTAGGATTACCATTATGTTTAGCAGCAATCATTCTTAATAATCCTTCCTTGTGTTCTTTCCCTAAATCTTCTATATGAGGAGACAGGGCCTTCCTGCATATTGTGTTGTTCTTTTGTAGCCATTGCTGCATGCAGACACAATTCTTAACTGTCTCCTCCTGCTGCTCCCTGTTGCTGCTGCTGCTGCTGCTCTGTCTCCTTCCTTAGTATAGCCATATTTATAGCAGATTAAAAGACAGGGGCACTAGGGGGCCCCCAGGGGGCCCCTGGGGGCCCCTCGGTGGGCCCTCAGGGGGCCCTCACCAGGCATTCTTTCTTAGAGGAGAAGGACGTGAGGGGCCCATAAGTGATGCCTCTAAAAGAGGGACCTGAGGCAGCCAACCTACAGAAAAGGAGACACTAGGGGCCCCCCCAACTAAAAGAGGGGCCCCTTGGAGGGGCCCCCCATGATACACAGAAGGGAACCTTGAAGAGGGCCCCCTTTTTTATAGGAGGCCCCTAAGAGAGGTACTCCCAAAGTAGAGGAAACCCGTTTGACTGTCCTCCACTAGGTAAGGGGGGCCCCCGTCTAGGGCCCCCTTTTCTGTAGGGGGCCCCTGTTCTTACGGACTCTAGAGGGGCCCCGTGGATTAAGAAAAGGGATTAAATGAGTTTAATGGGGGCCCCCAGAGGGGGAAAAAGTCATAGAAAGGGAAGGGACTTAAGGAAGATTAAGACCTATAACTAGCCTACCAGGAGGAGAAAGAGGGGGGCCCCCAGGGGACCCAGGGGCCCCTGTTATACGGAGGCCCCTCTTAGGTCCGATTGTCTGCTGGCTATCCATTGTAAGAGAGCCCTTTGCCTGCTGCTGCTGCTGTTGCTGCTGCTGCTGCTGTTGTTGCTGCTGTTGTTGTTACGCGGAGGTGACCCTAGGGGAGAGCTCCTCAGGTGACCCGGGCAGGCTAAACCCTAAACCCTAAACACTAAACCCTAATTCATGTGTAAACCCCTAATCTTACGAATTATAAATCTTTATAAAAGGAAGATGATGTGCCTGTACACCCCAAGCAATAAACCCTAATCACAGGGGCCCCCCTGCAAACCCTTGGAGGCCCGTTTTAGTCTCCTGGGGGCCCCTGGGGGCCCCAGCTGCTCGTGTTTGTTTGTTTATCTGTTGTATATTGAGTATATAATTATATATTTAATCTATTTGTAGTTGTTTAGATAATATTGTTGTTTTTATGTCTCTTTTTGTTGCTTTCTTCTTGCTAAAGGAGAAGGAAAAACATTGACAATAAGAGAAGGCCTTATTTGTCCCCAAGAACAATTAGGGTTTAGGGTTTAGGGTTTAGGGTTTACGAAGCTAAAGGCGAGACCCTCAACCTCCTAATTTAGTGATCCTTTACTGTTGAGGACTATCTAGGGTTTAGGGTTTAGGGTTTACTGTCTAGGCCTATCGAGGCACTGAGGAGGAAGAGACAGAGGGACAGGGGCCCAGCAAAACAAAAGGAGACAAAAGGAGACAAAAGGAGACAGACACTCTAAACCCCAGCAAACGAAGAAGACACCACAGAGAAGAATCCCGTAGAATAGACAAGGATTAGGGTTTAGGGTTTAGGGTTTAGGGTTTAGGGTTTAGTGTTTGGAGCGTCGGAAACAGAAAAATCATCTATGGTGTATAGGCAACTTTTTTTTTCTTCCTTTCTTTTTATTAAATAAAAAAGGAGACAAAAAAGAAATACAATAAAAAAGGAGACAAAAAAAGGGCAACTTATTAACTATTCACAGTCCCTCTTCTTTTATATACAAACAAAGGAGACAATAGCAATAAAGAAAAGAAAAAGGAGACAAAAAGGAGACAAAAGGGGGACAAAAGGGAGATAAAAAAAAGGAGATAAAAAATAGATAAAGAGGGGGACAAAAAAAGAGACAAAAAAGGAGATAAAAAGGAGAGACAGAAAAAAAAAAGAAAAAAGGAATAAAAGGAGACACTTAAATTGAATAAAAGGAGACACTAAAATACACAAAAGGAGACACTAAATTAGACAAAAAGGAGACACAACCCTAAAGGAGACACAATAAAGGAGACACAATAAAGGAGACACAATAAAGGAGACACAATAAAGGAGACACAATAAAGGAGACAGTATAGAGTAGACAGTATAGAATAGAGAGCAAAAGGGAGACAGTAAAAAGGAGACAGTATAAAAAAAGGAGACAGTATAAAAAAAGGAGACAGTATAAAAAAAGGAGACAGTAATAAAAAGGAGACAGTAATAAAAAGGAGACAGGATGGGTCAAGAAGGGACAGTACGTATGAGTCCTAATGTTCGTGCCTTATTAAGAGTAAGACCTGTCTCCTTAGAGACAGTAGAGGGACTAACCTATGATAAAGAAAAGAATATAGTAGAAATAAATATAAATAAATATAATTATAATAATAATATAAATAATATAAATAATAATATAAATAATAATAATAATATAAATAATAATATAAATAATAATAATAATAATAATATAAATAATAATATAAATATAAATAATAATATAAATATAAATAATAATAATAATAATAATAATAAGGAGACAGTACTTATATTTCGTTTTAATTCCCTTCTTATAGATGCAACACAGGAGACAGTATATAATAACTGTCTCCCTCCTATACTAAAGGGGACACTAGAGGGACTCAATGCTAGTGTTATGGCCTATGGACAGGTAAGAGGAATAATACATACTGTCTCCTTCTTACTGTCTCCTTTATTGTCTCCTTTATTGTCTCCTTCTCTGTCTCCTTGTTACTGTCTCCTTTATTGTCTGTCTCCTTGTTACTGTCTCCTATGAGGACTCAATGCTAGTGTTATGGCCTATGGACAGGTAACGGACAATTCTTACTGTCTCCTTCCCTGTCTCCTTTATTGCCTGTATCCTTTACTGTCTCCTTTATTGTCTGTCTCCTTGTCTGTCTCCTTTATTGTCTGTCTCCTTGTCTGTCTCCTTTATTGCCTGTCTCCTTTATTGTCTGTCTCCTTTACTGTCTCCTATGAGGTCTTAATGCTAGTGTTATGACCTATGGACAGGTAAGGGACACTTTATTATCTGTCTCCTTTATTGTCTGTCTTCTTGGCTGTCTCCTTGGCTGTCTCCTTTATTGCCTGTCTCCTTTATTGTCTGTCTCCTTTATTGTCTGTCTCCTTTATTGTCTGTCTCCTCTATTGTCTCATTTATACTGTGTCATTTGCTGTCTGTCCCCTTTATACTGTCTCCTTTATTGTCTGTCTCCTTTACTGTCTCCTTTATTGTCTCCTGTACTGTCTTAGTGTCTAGGGTTTGCTGGTGCTTCCTATTGTTCCCTATAGTGTACTAGTGCTTTCTAGGGTTTCTATTGTTACCTAGGATTTTCTAGGGTTTAATTAGGGTTTAGGGTTTAGGGTTTAGTGTTTAGGGTTTAGTGTTTAGGGTTTAGGGTTTAGGGTTTAGGGTTTAGGGTTTAGGGTTTGTGTCTGTCTGCAGACGGGTGCAGGGAAAACATATACTATGTTTGGTAGTCAAGAGAGTTATGCTAGTCGTGGTTTAGTTCCTCGTTTTATTAATGATTTATTTAATTTATTAAATAAACAACATGAATATTATTCTGCTGTTTTTGTCTCCTTTTGTCAACTTGATGCTGAATTACTCTTTGATCTACTCGCTATACAAGGACTTGATTCACAAACAGGAAATGAATTACAGGTAGGGTTTAGGGTTTAGGGTTTAGGGTTTAGGGCTTTTGAGGGTTTAGGGTTTAGTGCGTAAAGATTTAAATTGTGTAGATTGTGTTCGTGCTTGTTTCCTGTTCATTAGAATTGTTTATTATTTATTATTATTTATTATTGCTTATTATGGTTAATTATGGTTTATGAGGGTTTATGAGGGTTTATTAGGGTTTATGAGGGTTTAGGGTTTAGGGTTTAGGGTTTAGGGTTTAGGGTTTGGAGTGTAATTTTTTTTTTTTTTGTATCAGATACAAGAGGATGCAAGAGGAGGTGTATTTGTTCGTGGATTAAGTCTTCGTCAATGTGCAAATGCAGAGGAAGCATTAACATGTTTTTTTAAGGGATTTAATTTACGTAGTGTTTCTTCTCATGGTATAAACCCTAGCAGCAGCAGAAGTCATTGTATATTTACGGTGTATATACACTCTAAATCACGTAATGATACAACACAAGGAATAAAAAGTAGTAAAATACATTTTATTGATCTTGCTGGTTGCGAACGACCTAAGAAAACATTAGCAGAAGGAAGTCTCCTTAGAGGGACTGCATTCATCAATAAAAGTCTATCTATACTTGAAATGGTAAGGGTTTAGGGTTTAGGGTTTAGGGTTTAGGGTCTAGGGTTTTGGGTTTTGGGTTTGAGGGTTTGAGTTTGAGGGTTTAGGGTTTGGGGGATTAGGGTTTACGGTCGAATGCTCAGTGCGTATGTGGGGTTGGGGTTGTAGGGTTTAGGGTTTAGGGTTTAGGGTTTAGGGTTTATTTAGGGTTTATGCAGGTTGTTGTTGCTCTTGGGGAGAAAGGGAGAGATCATATACCCTATCGATCTAGTCGTCTTACTCATCTGCTTAAGGATACACTTGGAGGTTCGTTAGGGTTTAGGGTTTAGGGTTTAGGGTTTAGGGTTTAGGGGTTAGTGTTTTAGGGTTTAGGGTTTAGGGTTTGTTCCCTAACTGCTGACGGCTTGCTCACAAAACCACCCTATATCTGCTGCTGCTGCTTCTGCTGCTGCTACTACCACTGCTGCTGCTGCTGCTGCTGCTGCTGCAGGAAACAGCAACACTTGTTTAATAGCCAATATATGGCCAGAAAAAGAATACTTAGAGGAGACACTCTCTACCTTGCGCTTCTCTCAGAGAATGATGAGGGTAATTGCTGCTGCTGCTGCTGCTGTTGCTGCTGCTACTGCTGCTGCTGCTGCTGCTGCTCTCCTGCTGCTGCTCTTTTCAGCCTACTGTCCTAAGCTCTTCCCTGGCAAGCAGAGACTAGCTAGCTAGCTAGCTAGCTAGCTAGCTAGCTAGTTGACTGGCTAGCTAACCACTTACCTAGCCTATCGCGAGTCTCCGCTTCATCTGTTGCATATGCTGCTGCTGCTGCTGCTGCTGTTGCTGGTGCTGCTGCTGCTGCTGCTGCTGTTGCTGGTGCTGCTGCAGGTATCTAATAAAGCAGTAGTGAATATAATAGTAGACCCATTAGTTTTATCTAAAAGATTAGAGAAAGATGTACAAAGATTAAGACAAGAATTACAAATCACTAACTCCCTCATGGGAAGACCTCCACAAGTAAACCCTAAACCCTAAACCCTAAACCCTAAACCCTAAACCCTAAACCCTAAACCCTAAACCGTAGGTCCTTCTCCAGGAAGCTTGAGTGTTCGTCTTCTGCACACGAGGGTTTAGGGTTTAAGAGGTTTAGGGTTGAGGGTTTGTCACAAGCCGGATTCAAAGCTAGAGTAAGTGTGGCTAGGGTTTAGGGTTTAGGGTTTAGGGTTTAGGGTTTGTGTCTCAGTCTTACGACGCCTCCTCTCCTGAAGAATTGGAGGAAATGAGGAAAACAGCAACACTCTATCTTAACGGAGAGCAAGAGGAGATACAATTTACTTCCGTCAGGTGCAGCAGCAGCAGCAACAAAGACAACAACAACAACAACAGCAGCAGCAGCAGCAGCACGAGCAGGAGCAACAGTAGCAGCAAGAGCAGCAGCAGCAGCAGCTGTGTTGTCAGCAATTCCAATACAGTAGTGGCAGCGATAGTGAGCAGCACTTGCTTATAGCACCAGCAGCAGCAGAGGCAGCAGCAGCAGCAGCAGCAGCAGCAGAAGCAGCAGCAGAAGCAGCAGCAGCAAAAGCAGCACGCATGCATGCATGCATGCATTTTAAGGTGTATGCACTGGCAAACAGCAGCTCAGCTGCTTGTCCCGCCCTCCACCGCTACTGCTGCTGTTGCTGCTTCTGCTGCTACTGCTGCTGTTGTTGTTGTTGCTGCTGCTGCTGTTGTAGGCAAGTGGAGGAGCTGCTGCAGATGATGCGTTCTGTCTATCAAGAGACAACAGCAGCAATTAGAAGGGAAGCAGCAGAAGCAACATCTGCTGCTGCTGCTGCTGCTGCTGCTGTCTCTACACCCGATAGTGACGCGTCAGAAGCAGCAGCAGCAGCAGCAGCAAAATTAAAAGGGACACCTACTACACCAAAGGGAGGAAAGGACCAAAATAAAAATAATCAGCAGGGGCCCCAAGGGGCCCCCCCAGGGTCCCCTGCAGGAACGCCTAAACCTATACAAAGTAAGTCTTAGGGTTTTTTATTGTTGTGTAGGGTTTAGGGTTTAGGGTTTAGGGTTTTTGTCTAGGGTTTGGCCCCCTTGGGGTATCAAAAGAAAATTCTTTCAGGGCAGATTACAACAACGACAACAGCAACTGCAGCAGCAGCAGCAACTGCAGCAGCAGCAGCAGCAGCAGCAGCAGCAGGAGCAGGAGCAGGAAGGGTTTGTGTGTGTCTGTGTACAGAAGTTGGGTATGAAGACACAACAGTTGGTGGTGTCTCCTTAGGGACAGACACAGATCAATCAGAGATACCCCCATTAGATAGATTAGATGACACAAGACTACCTCTCTCTCATCAGTAAGGGTTTAGGGTTTAGGGTTTAGGGTTTAGTGTTGTTATTTATATTTGTTTTTTCGACCTCTTGTTTATTTTTATTGTTTTCGATTTTTCATTAAATTTTAATTTTTAGGGTTTAGGGTTTAGGGTTTAGGGTTTAGGGTTTAGGGTTTAGGGTTTAGGGTTTAGGG